GAAAACTAATTTCTGTTTTGAATCTATTTGTTTATATTACACAAAGTTTTTTTTATTTTCAGGTTAGTACCATCTTCTAGAAAATGAAGATCATTTATTTACCATCTTGTAAAGTCCTGTCCTCATTAAAGTCACAGATTTACATTAGTGGGGTGATTTCATTCAGAGGTTTTTAGGATATGGGCCATTGCAAGTATACGTATTCTAAGTGTAGAATGCAATCAAGCTTCGCTAGGGATACAAGGTTACACAAAATGCCTTGTCATGCATGCTTTTTTTCTTTTCCCAAGGAATGGAAAACTGGAAAGAGGAAAGCAGAAAAAGATGAGATTGTAGGACTTATGGTATTCTCTACTATGGAACCAGAAGCTCCTGACTTGGACATGATAGAAATGTAAGGTGGTGTTACCTTTTCTCAAATTGATATTGCATGTCAGCAGTGACACTGACAAATTATCTTTATTTAATGAAAAGCTACTGAGATCTATTAAAAAAAAAAAAGTACCTATTGCATGTTGCTGGCATCAGAGAAAAACTTGTCATTTCACCTGAATGAGTTTTGTAACAAGAAAACTATTTTAGGTTGAAATAGCTGAAAATGATTAAGTGGAGGCCTTTCAAAATGTATTAAAATTTGACACAAAGGGTGCAGACAGAAGTGACAACTATTGCTCAATCTGGCCACAAAGTGGTCTATAGCCATGACCAAACACAAGCGCACAGCTTCAGACGGCTTAAAAAATGGCCAATTGGGTGAAAATCTGAACCCTTATTGCATGAGATATCAGGAGGCGCTACTTCACGGTCAGGGCAGCTAGGATCTGGAACCAACTTCCAAGAGAAGTGGTGCAGGCTCCTACCCTGGGGGTTTTTAAGAGGAGGTTAGACGAACACCTTGCTGTGGTCATTTGACTCCAGTACTCTTTCCTGCCATGGCAGGGGGTCGGACTTGATGATCTGCTCAGGTCCCTTCCGACCCTACAAACTATGAAACGATGAGACAAAGACGCTTCAAAACAGAGCATCTTCTGTCTATGATGCCTGCTAGCCTGTCGCTGTTTTCAGAGGTAGGAAAGGAAGCTGAGGGAGTTTGGTGTGGGAGTTTTTCAGCCAAAGGGTGGGGTGGGTGAATGGAAGCACCCATACTCCCAAGGTAAGGGGGCTCCAGTTCACCCATCCCCCTCCAGCATGGGCAAGGGAATGCCTAGAATGAGCTCCCTCTACTCCCTTTCCCTCTTCCCATTCTGAAAACTTTGCAGCCTCACAGGGAGGAAGGGGTGTTGCTAGGAAAAAACGACTGCTGGCTAGCAGCCAGCAGCTAGATTTCTCTCCCCCCCTGGAACCAACAGTGAACTTCTGTTTGGTCCAGGGGATTGGTATAAGTCGGAACACTTCTTGCAAAGCATTCTCAGTTACAGCTGGGAGCTATACATCTGTCTGTACCCAAGAGGATGGTGCATAGAGATCTGAATACACAAGATAAGGCTGAATGCAGATCCTGAAAACTGCCTCTTGCAGCAACCTTGAATTGGAGTTGTTGGGCATTGACAGAGTAGTGGAGATAAAACCTGCCAACATTATATTTTAAATAAAATATTATATTCTTCAATATGCCAATACAGAATTATTCCAAAGTTGGTTTGTTTTTTTTGATCTTGTCAAAGATGACAAATAATCCTGGGCAGAAATCATTTAAAAAAGTATGTTATGATAGAAAAATTGGGCTTAATTCAAGCTGTGAGTCATCCTAAAGGGCAGGGCCAACACAGATTTTCTACAAATGAAGAAAGACTGATCCTAGATCAGGGGTGCCCAACCTTTTTGAATGTGGGGCTGGATCATGAACTTCTCATTGCCCAGTGGGCTGGCAGGAGCAGGCACTTGCACAGCTGCAGCCTGGGGGCGCAGGGGTCAAGGGGTGCTGCCTGACCCCGCCATGTCTTCCCTGCCACCTGGGTGGCCTCAAGGATGCTTCCACACCCGTGTACCTGGACTCAGCAGTCAGGGAGACATGTGGGAACTCTACAGGGGGGTGCCGGATGTGTGGGGACACCCCCCTGCTACCTCTCCCCCAGGGCAGCCTGAGCCCAAGCGGCAAGGGTCCCTCCCCTCGTGGGGCCTGCAACTCACCACCCCCAGCGTGATGGCTGTGGGCACGGGGGGATGCAGGGAGGTGGGAGCGGTGCTGGCTTCCCGCCTTGACAGCCGCAGCAGCAGCCACAGCAGCACCTCGCTCAGGACCAGCTCCAGCATCCCTCCGAGCCGGCATCTGCACCCCTTGCGAATGAGGAGGGGAGGCGTGGAGTGAGGAAGGGACACGGTAAAATGAGGGGGGAGGGGAGGAGCTGCACTGCGTCGGCAGTGTCAAGCTGATGTGTG